CATACATACATACATACATACATACATACATACATACATACATACATACACACACACACACACACACACACACAAACACACACACACATACATACATACAACAAAAATGTTATAGTATTAATATATTATTATATACAATATATTATTATTATTATTATTATTATTATTATTAAATGTGAAACAATGTTATAATATGAAATATTATCAATAATATTTCAAGCTTTCCATTGCCCAAGTTATGATTTGAACATCGGAACTTTTCCAGTTTTCTGAAGAAAACTCACATAAATTCAATTTTCATAGCATTATTCTTTTCCATGGAAATCAGTTGTGACAATGTTATTTTGCATTTGATTGTTATGCACTAAATGACTAAATTGTTTTCCCCCTCTTCTAAGACAGATAAAAGTCAGAGCTCTCATTTTCAACAGATGTTCCAGATTCTGAAATTACTTGGTTTCAGTTGGGCAGAAAGGTAAATATGAACATATCAAGATGTTTAGTTTTTTTTTTTTTAAACAAACTGAACAATGGTATTTTTAATATTAGAAGGGGAAAATGTGACAAACCAAATGTTCTAAATGTTTAGATGGGCAGTTTGGATTGCAAGAATTTGACCATTCGGGATAGATCAGAAAACAACTAATTTTAAGCAAGAACATTAACAGTGCTTAAGATGTTAGATAGGAGCAGAAGTGACCCAGGTTCATATCCCATCCATGGTGAAGCTTGGGAAGTGTTGTGCCCCTCTTAATTTGGCCTACCTAAGAGGTTTGTTGTAAGGCAAGGTTGTCAAACTCAAGGTGCGGGGGCTGGATCCAGCCCACAGGGTGCTTAGATCTGGCCCACGGGGCCACCCTGAAAATAGCAAAGTACCAGTCCGCTGTGCCATTGCCAGTGAAAATGGACTGTAGGAGGGTCAAGGACAACCTTCCCGAGCTCCGTTTTTGCTGGCAGATTATTGCAGGAAACTGTCGCAGCCAAAAACGGAGTCCGGGAGCCCGTTTTCACTGGCAGAACACTCGGGTGACCACAGGCGCTCTGACACGAGTGATGCTGAGCTGACCTCCCCCCCAAGATCAAACAAAACCCTGATGCGCCCCTGAATGAAATCGAGTTTGTTGCAAGGGGGAAACCCTTTGTGAATCCTTAAACTCTCATATGAAATTATTCATGCAATAAAAAAAATAAATTTAGAAAATTGAGAGATAATTTCCTTATATAGCATTTCAGTATTTGCTCTGGAATCTGCCTGTATTCCAGTATAAGGCTGTGGAATGCTATTAGTTCTGTTTCCTGCTGGAGGGGCTAATTGGTTGCTTATAGAATGTTTCAACAGCAACCACTTAATTAAGATTCTCATTCAATATTGAAGATACGCATCTCAGAAAAGATTTTATATTTAGGAAAAGCCAGCCTTGTGTTGAATCAGCAGCAGCAGACAGGACAAGGTGAAAATTCATCATTTCTAATGTAAATTACCACATTGGGAAGTGATTGATTGGTGGTTAAGCAAATATGAAGTTGCTCTAACTGGTTTAGGTTAAATTATTATTAGGTTAATAAAAATAAAGTTGGTGTGTGTGTGTGTGTGTGTGTGTGTGTGTTGGTTCTCTGTCTTCTGTGTATAAAGGCACATTGTTGCCATGTCAAGCTTTCCTACATAATTATTGAGATGGTAGAGCTTCTTGTTCAAAAATATATAGTTCATATTACAGCTGTAACATGGGCAATGAAAGAATGCTTATGTAATGTACACATGTGGATACATCTGGTATCTAATCCTGTTTTGGAAGGAATAAAGTCTGAAACTGTAAAGCAAACTTCCACTACTACATATGTAAAAGTAGAGTATGAGAAACTGTTTTCAACCATGGGTAATATGTAAGTACAGAGCACTTCGCACTTGGATTAGTAGTTTATTTATTAGATTCATGTTCTACTTTTCATTTAGAAGCTCAAAGGAGCATCTACAGCATTTCCTTCACCTCTTTTCCCTCACTTCAGCAACTCTTGTGAAATAGAGCTTCTGTGGTGGAGGGTGGAAGTAGCATATTTTTCTGAGATCAGGTTTAATTCTAAACGTATGAAAATGCCAATTCTTATTGCGGGATATGTTCATTGTCTCTAAGAGAATGTCACTTTTTATCTATGATGTTTATTAGACCCATCAGTTATCAGGTGTTGTTGAGCATAAGCTGGACTGATGTTTTTGTCCTCTATGTTTGTAGGTGCCAACATGTGCCCTTTGGGAGAATTCAAGGCATGAAAACTCGACAAGGAGAAGTGATTTTCTTGGAAGATGTTTTAAATGAAACTTGTTCCCTAGTATTAGAGAGACGTGCCTCAACAAAAAGTTAGCCAGTACATTTTCTCTGTTAAATTAATATTTTATTCTAGTTCTAGAAAAAAAGACTACAAGTACGTGTGTTTCACCACTCTATAGCACAGTCTATGCCACAATTAGTTCAGCTTCTTTTGCTTTCCATATAGGGACCTCTTTTTCTGTACTCAATATTTCAATATTTAAAACACACTCTAGTAAGAAAATGTGTTTAAGTAATCAGGAAAATAATTCAGCCTTTACAAATAAAGACATCTGGATCTTTTCATTATTCTACTCTGATGGCATTCTGTCAGTCAGTGAAATTATATTCTTTTTCAAGACACCTTTGACTAATTTAATTTTTTCAGTTCATATTTATTTATTTATTTATTTATTTATTTATTTATTTATTTACTAATAGATGATACTTTGCTATTTTGAAACATTTGGCATTATTTTTTTCTCTTCTGTATCTATCAGTTGTAGCTTTAATATCTGACATTGCTTGGATAGGTCTCCCACACAATTCCATTCTACATTATTTCTCTAAAAGATAACGTTAAACATGAATCTAATTGCACAAGCCTCCATTAATTTTCATATGCAATGCTACACAGTATAGAGTTGAAGAATATTGGAAACTTTCATATGAACAATTTATTAAAAGACTTCTGCAATCATTTTGAAAAATAAAGTTATTTAATGATAGCTGATGCCACAGTATTTTAGAAGTGTAAAAGGAAGCTGAACTTCCAAAGAGGTTTTTGAAATTGCCGCAGGATAAAATTCTAATAAATAAATTATGAGCGTATGTAAATAAGTTTTCCTGATTTTGTTAACCATAGTCAAGATATGAGGAAGAGTATATTCCTTTTATCTCCTATAACTAAGCAGACCGCTTCATAAAGAAGAGTTTCAGTACCAGTTTCTACCAGCAGCCTTGGGTACCTGTTGGGGAAATAATGGCTTTTCTCCTTTTATCTGGTCAGCCACAAAAGAATGTGACAATCCTCCTGAGACCGCAGAACGGATTGGGCTCGCAGCACTTATCATTCAGGTCTGTCATCCAATTAATGGCAAGCTCAGTTTCAGGAAAATTGAAAATGATCTACTCAGTTCGTGAATAATTTGTCATTTTCAGGACTTCAAAGTTCTCTTATCGTCTGATTATCGGTTTAACTGGGATCACGTTCTTCAGAGCAAAGGCGATACTGGTGTCTTCTTGCAATATACACATGCCAGGCTGCGCAGGTATGGAGGGATGATTTGGGCCCCATTTTTTCTGAGTTGGCCTTCACTTGGGTCAGAATGAATGTTGTCTGCAAATGAGGGATTGGGAACTTTTCTGCTGCAGCTTCAGTGTGCTTAAAGCAGGCAAATGGGCAAGTTTTACTAAAGAGCTCCATCCAATTCATATAATGGAACTTTCTCCTTTTCTTGTCCCAAAGCACATAGCTGCTTTGAAGAGTTCCCATAATTCCCATCAGTACAACCATAAGAGTGCTGTATTCCCAGAAAGGCTGCAGAAGAATTTTCAGTAATAAGAGCGTAGCTCTGGAGTACAGCAATGGAAACAATCGTAACTTTAAACAGGCAGCAGAACTCAACCGAGTATACAAAGAAGTAAAGAACCATTTTAGAATTTTTTTTAATGTATAAAATATAATATATAATCCTGCTATATAAATTACCCTGTTGTTTATATACAGTCCGCCAAGAAGCAAAGAACTATTCTGAAGATTCGATAGTTTCCTGTTTCTTCTGAAACTACAACTTTGCAGTTTTAACTCTGTTGTGGTGATCAGTCAAAATGTTTGTATTAATGTACCATTTCAACAAACAACTAAGGTCCTTTTAAGATTGTGCTGTGCTATTTTATTTCATTCTTGCATGATTTGGCTCAGTTGAAGTGAAACAAGTTTCAAGTCCCAAGTGTTTTGCTTCAGTTATTAGTTTCCTTTAAAGTACTTTCCTTCCCTCGCACATAATATGCTAGTGGTTTCCGGCTCTAGGGTGCGGTGCTCATCTCCGTTTCAAAGCTGAAGAGCCAGCGTTGTCCAAAGACATCTCCGTGGTCATGTGGCTGGCATGACTAAATGCCAAAGGCGCACCGAACGCTGTTACCTTCCCACCAAAATGGTCCCTATTTTTCTACTTGCATTTTTACGTGCTTTCGAACTGCTAGGTTGGCAGAAGCTGGGACAAGTAACGGGAGCTCACTCTGTTATGCAGCGTTAGGGATTCAAATTGCCAACCTTTCTGATTGACAAGCTTAGTGTCTTAGCCACTGAGCCACCGTGTCCCTTGAGCCACTGCGTCCCTACTTTCCTTTGTTATCTTAAATA